GGTAAAGCGTTCTAGACCCTCACTCAGGGAGGGACCTCATGATAACCAAACTTCCCTGGATGAGAATCTAACAAAAAATTTCCTATCAAAGTCGAGAATCGGAGGGGTGTAGTCAATGTTATTTGGAGTAGGACAGAAAAGTTTTAGAATGGAGCCGTGCCCATGGTCACTAGCCCTCTATTGTGATGTACCCTTGAGTCTTTGGGCAGATGATGCTGCCAACTGTTTACTGAATATGTCAAGTGGCATTAAGTGGACCATTAGATCTAATGCCATAGATGGCGTTGTACACAGAGCACTACTAATGTAGAGTTCAGGCGTGAGGTGAATCCTGTTAAGTACAGTGCAATTCGAAGATTTATCTAAGGCAAACTTCTGACTATACTTAATATGATTATTAAATATTTTATCATCTAAAAAGGTAAACCTATAAGTCAACCTAAAAGAGAAATATTTTTTCCAATCACACTGTATTATACAGTTTTGGAACTGGCTTTATTATTTAATAATGTATAAATTACTACATAATCAGTTTTATTATCAGAAAATCGAATTTAGGACAATTTTTTTTCTAAATCTATGTTAGTACTCTAAACGTGATTTTGATGACCCAATTAAAGATACTTCTAAATTTTAATATAAGACAATATTACATTATTCTTTTGAATGCCATACTTATTGAATTAATTTTACTGAGAAAGGATGATCTTCATGCTTAAAAGAATGATACTTTTGGTTTCCCAGCTACTTACGTCCTTGATAATCTCTATCGCAATACTGAGACTCCCAAACCCTTCTATACTCTCTCATTGAGGTTGTTTATTATTAAGAAAAGTTGGTTTTTTTTAATTTTATTCAATTTTGGTTGTAGCCCACCTTTTTTATTAATGAACTTTAACAATGAAAAGGAAATTAGAAAACGAATCAATTTGCACTGCACATTGGAGAGAAGCGTTAAACCCCAAAATACCCTCACACACATGTGCGCCAACACATCGGAATTCTAATTAGAATTCCTCGGCATAGTTGGTGTATTCAATTTTATACAGAAACACAATAAGGATAATAAAATTATTTTCACTCTTTTGAAAACTTTTGATTGTGACACCGAGCAACGCCTTCGTAGCCTTCATCAAGATGGCGTGTTGCAATTAATACCTTTCAGCACACATAATTATATTAATGCGATTCGACAAGTGTGTGCGGGGTGTGTGTGCCGCTGTGATGTATAAGTACGTATGCGTGTGGTTTTGTGAATAATGGCAAATTCTAAATTCGAACAGAAAAAAGGAAATAGTAAAAATATTTTTCAGTGAAATTATTGTGCATGAATGAAAACAAATGGCAAATTTCAGAGCATTCAAGCCCTGATAACAGTTCGGTAGGAAAACAACCACCGGGACCAATGTCAGCACCACTTACCGCTACCAACGTAACCAACGGCGGCGTCAACAAAGCTCCTAAGCAGAGTTTTCTTTGAAAATCACTTTAATGAAAAACAAAGGAAAAACAAAGGAAATACGCAATATGTCGCAAGGATTTTAAATCCTTTTTCGTGGTTTCCAGACTGCTTTGCGCGGTCTTTGTGTGTTACACATTATTATGTAAAATTTTTGGGATTTTAATTGAATTTCACATACTTGTGTTCGTTGATGTTGCCGCCGTTCTTTAAAGCCGCTCCAAATACCATAAATTTTCAGCCAATATATTAAGCTCAGGCATATCAAAGGAACACAACAAAAGTAACTTAAAAACAAACCAATGGCTTCCGGAATATGGAACTCCATTTTTGTTATCCAAAATTATTAAATATTTTTAGGTACGAGTAAAAGGAATTTTTAAGCTTCGTGGGCATTTCACACAATAAAGTTCAAAAATGAGAACCATATATTCGTATTAATTTTAAACTAACTCAACTAATGTGTTCACCATTATTGAATTAAAATAGAAAATTAATAAATCTTAATTGAAACATGTGCGCAGAGTCATTAAAACACTATTATTTAATGGCTTAACTGCGGTTTCGAAATTACTCGCATTTTATGAAATTAACTATTCACATTTCTCCTACTATGGAACTCATGAAGAAGCTTACTCTCGCCATCGCAAAGGAATTTCACATTCTCATTTCAGTTAATCAATTTTTGGTTTTCTTTTGCATCAACACATATTCTAAATGAGTTTTGGTTTCAAGATGTAGAATATATTACGTATTTTAAATTAAATTTTTAATTACCTGATAGGTCTGATATGTCATTTGAATGTGTTATTAAATAAAAATTAGTGGTGCTGCTTTGTGAGTTTCTTAATTCGTTGCTTAGAATTTTGTATATCGCATACTTTGTGATCTGAAATTGATTTGTGCCACTTTATTTATATAGATAATCTTGTATATCTTCGCTTTTAGTACTAAATTTCTCTTTTTTTCCGATTTCATTTATGACAAAGTGTTCCAATCATGTTCTTACTAAAAGCTGTCAATGGAAGTTTTACAAAATAGACACGAGAACTAGTACAAGAGGTTAAGGCCAGTCTGACTTTTCGTGCATTAAAATTTTGAAAAGACTGGTGAGTTATATCTGAAGTAATCTTTGGGATACTTCATCTTATTCACTGCCCAAATATATATATCAAAGGGATGTTAATTTAAAGTGTCCTATATTAAGCTGTCCATGGCAACTGTTGCTGTCAGGGCAACGTTACCACGGGTGCCATTCAACGACCATTAATAAAATTGGGAACTTTCTTACAGCTTGGATTATTGCTACGCTGGAAACAACGGTTAGAACTGCTACATGAGAAAAACCAAACTAACAAAACTAATCAATAGAGGGCAACAACAAGAAATGCAATTTCCTACTTCATTAGGAGAAAAAAACTTAACGAAGGAAGTATCAAAGCAATTACTTATGCGGATAATATGATGAGAATGGCATCAAAACTATGTCTTACTGGCCACTATGTTGTCTTGGATTGTATCCAAGTGAAAAAAAATATGCTTTCCATCGGAAATTCAGCCAACTATGACTTTCCACATTTAAATTAACAAACAATTACTTCGGCATACATTGGAAATAATTCTATAAAAATTCGAAATTTATCTGCTGGCGAGGTAAAATAGGCCATGTTTGCCTTTATATGCCGGCTTACAAACGATTGGTTTGAAGTGGGGCCCCCAAACAAAATAATCACTATAGCTATGTGGTATGTATGTATATCTAATTGTCATATAGTTCAGTAGTTCGAAGAAAGCTTTGAATAAAGATGAAATTTATTTTCTAGAAAAAACTAAAAAACATATGAAGTGAAGTTCAGTATGTGAGAGTACTAATGCTGCAGCCTCACACACTATTTAATAGCAGCGCTCAGAACATCCTGATTTACATAATCGCAATAGACATATAGACAGAAAAAAGCGTACTAAAAGCTCACTGATCTTAAAAAGAAAATGGACTATGAGATCTCTGTTAGACCGTCCAGATGCCGTATTCATTATAGATGATTTCAAGATGGATACTGCTGTCGTTATGGAGATATACCCAAAGAGAATATAATAAACTTTGAACGTATGTATACTGAATGTGTATGCGTTTTCAAAAACAGCGCTAAGCTGTAATTTATCTAGTGTCTCCTACATAGTAAAGCAACTTTCAAGTAAACTAACCAAGTAAAGCGAAAGGCATAATGTTTCTCTTATATAGGTAGTGCGATAAACTGATGAACTGGTAAGAAACTGAGTTGCCATGCGAAAATCTCATGCGAAATCGGTTTCCAGATTATTGATAGTGACTAAAGGAACTGTTGAAATCAAATACCTTCAAGAAACAAACCTTAAGTGCAAGAATCTTTTTACTTTTAAGGTTTAAAGAATTTTTTGGACTGTATACAATAATTTTTGTAACTAGTTCATTGTAACTTATTGTTATCTATAAAGGCTAAACTTTATTAATTTAAAGTTTAATTTAATTAAGAAAGTAACTAACGAAGCTGTGCATATTAACTACAATAGTCGTTTGTTCGGTTTGGTGTCCCGTGCTATCACAAACTCAATCATCTTTTTTGCAAATGAATTTTAAAAGCATTATACTATAAAAAAGCATTATAATATATAATAACTTACAATTTACGTAATTTAATAATTTTTAAGAATCGAAGAGAACCTACAGTTATAACATTATACATCATCTACAGTAATAATTTAATTTCTCAGTATTCTTCACCTATTTATATATAATAGACTAATCAAAGTTTGGCCAGCATTTAGTTAATTTCCTCTTGTAGCCACATATCTCGATGTAATATTTTCTTACAGTAACTACAATTTTGGGTTGATCATGTTCTTCGGATTATTTTCCAATAACTAATTCCAAACGAAGGATATACGCAATTGCAGAACATTCGCATATATAATTCCAAAATCAGCTGATGTTCAATACACTTTCATCAATTTACTGAAAAATTATGACTATATGTTTTTCTCACGTTTATGAAAACATAAAACCCGATATTTTTTATATATAATTATATAGTTCCAGAATTGAAATTTCACTATTTTAAGTATCAAGTGTAGAAACAAATTTATTTTGGGTTGACATTTAGTACAGATTATTAAATATTCGCCTGCTCGTGCGTGGGTGCATAATATATATACACTATTTCACATCATCAGATATATCTCAACAAATATATGAAATATAAATTGATAAACACAGTTGAAATACGGATTTGTTGGTGGGAAGTTTATTAAGATTATGCTTTACTACAATTTATATAAAGAGATCTGAAAGGTACTTTTATAAATTGAATATTTTTAAAATTAATTAAAATAAAGTAGATTTCCAAACTCAGCAGATTAACTACTGGCTAATTTAACTGCATTATCGGCATAATTCAGTTATTAAATTCTAGTAGGTCATGATAATATCAGTTTTGCTTCGAAACAAAAATTTTTTTCTGAATTGAAGTATTAAAAATTTTTTGTTATAAATATATTCCGACAGAAGTAAATCAAAATTTTAGGCATTCAGGATAGTTATGGCATTTTGCGTTTATTAAGATCCTATACAAGTTTAGTAAGTATTATTATACAGACATTCATATTGTTCTTTATAACTTCCGTACGGTTTTAGACTTTGAAAACAAAGGCTGGAAAATTACAAACATGGTTTCGGACTGCATCAATATATTGACATCAACTGGAAAAATACTTGGTATAAGTCAAAAAATTGCTAATCGCATACCTCGTATTAGGGAATTGTTGTTCACCGTTTCGGGACGTAGGTTAGATCCGGTTCCCCTACGAGAAATCCACCCATCTATATTTACTCTCATAGTAAAATGGGCTCAACATCATGAATATGATCCAGTATCAGTTGATGACTTCGATGAATGGGATGTAAGTTTTTTTGATAAAAATCGTGAGACAATCTTGAAAATAGTTATAGCCACTAGCCTGATGGAATTTGAAATGCTCTTCCAAATAAGCCGTCTTGTGTTGGAACAATTTGATTCCGAAGACGAGGACGTAGAGTATGAATTGCAGGATCAAAGTTCTTAAATATATTTTTGAAATTTACAAAGTGTAGTTGAAATGTCTTAACTATTAGAAAATATATTTTGACGCTTTTGTGACTTAAGTGTCATTGGTTCATAGAACGTTTCTTTGTTATAATTTTCAATAAGCTTTATAGTTTTATAAATTTTTTATGGATATAGTTTTATAGCACGACAGTATTATGTTAAACATTTTTATACCATCTGCACCTTACACGGCATAAGAAACCTTTTTGGTCTAATGTAATCCATAATTTATTTTCAATTAAAATGAACTGTTTATTTGTGGATGTTATAGCGTTTCTGCTATAACTTGAGTAAGCTTACAACTTATATAATATCGTAATTTTATACCATTTTGTGGGTTATAAGTTATGTCTTTGCCCCAGAAGTCCCTATTCTATTATTTATTGATGGAAGTGTTTTCAGCATTAGTATTCAGGATTAAGTGTAAATGGATTTGCATTATTACATTTACAAAGAAGCATTTCACATTTTCGCTAAATAACAAAATCTGCAGAATTTCATTTGTCACATTTAAATACATTTGCAACACTGAAAACTTAATATATAGGTATATAGTATGCATTTAATTAAGACATGATTTCACAGCTTAGCAAACTGACGGCTTTACTTGAAGCAACTGACTCCAATATTTGCATGTAACGATATAAAACAAGTAAAAAGTGGAGAGGAAAATATTTTGCAATTTTTTATGGATATATATATTTATTTTTTCTAAATTTGTATCTTTATTATATCTAAGATCTAACAATTCAAATTTATTGAAAAAAGTTGATTGAACAACCGACATTGAGTGATTAAGTTTAAAATAGAACAAACAACAAATTATTAAAAATGAATAAATCTTCTTCTCGAAGGTCAATTGAAACTGATAAAAAGCAAACCGTCCAATAATGATAATAAAGATCAAAGAAAAATTAAATTCGTAGAAATCGGTCATTTGTAAACCCAAGAAATACGTAATTTTAACATCAAAACTCAACATATGGACTTTAAATGTTTTTATGGCAAAATCATTCCATCACATTAATTAATACATAAATACAATTTTTAAACTGATTCTGCACTGGAGATATATATATGTTGTCTGCAACAATGTTAAAGGCAAAGGGCATGCTATATAAAACGTAAACCAGGTATTTAAAAATAATATTTATTTATTTTGTTTTGCTGATCATTTTTACTGACTAATATTGAATATGAGTACTCATAGACGGCAACCACATTAGTTTCTTTCTATATTTGTGTTATACTAGTAATCTTATTTGTAAATATAGTCTTTTCTTAAGTTTTTAGCGATTAACTTTAAAATATACTGTTACCAACTTCTTCAATTAATTTATTTGCTCAAATAATAAAGGATGGAATAGATCAACAGAATAGGTAGGTAACTCACCAAAAAGTACAACTCACATATATCAGATAAAATAGTACAGAATGCAACTCTATACATTTATATGTTACTATTTTGTTTTACTTTCTATATATATATGTCTCTCTAATAAAGTCTATAAAACTGAACGGCCGTGCATTTTTCCTGCGGATGATCTAACATATTATTCTATCGAGACATTGATCTCATACAACTTTTGTAGCTAGTAAAAAGCTTTCACGGGTGGGATGGGATATATTATTATTCTATCCATACTCTTAAGACCTGCATCTACCAATGATCATTTGTTCTAGTTCCTAATAAATTTTAGTAAAATCTTTATGTCAAATAAGGGCACCAGAAATGACGGATTAGTTTTTGCACGAAAAAAAAGAAAATAGATTTTAATAAAATATTTATATGGTGTGATAAAATTTGCTTGCATTCTTAACAAATTGATACGAAATTATTTTCCAAACAACTCAGTATTTTTTGGGATATATATAAAGGATATATGACATTTATAGAAATTTTGTGTTTACTTATAAAAATTATATTTAATTTAATGTTCTTATAAATCTCGACATTATTACTGAATATTACTAAAACAACTGTCAATAGAACTAAATTTTGTAACTCATGCAAATTTGTTTTTTAAAAGTGATTTTAAGTAATAATATAATAATATATTATGTAATAATACATAATTGGAATACAAAACCTACAATAATTCTACGAAAATAACATGCCTTTAATAGGTAGCAAATGCGAGGTTTAGGGAATTACGATATTTTTTTATGTAATGCAGATATAATTCAAATGGTTTAATTAAACTTTCAACTACAAAATGATTTAATTAAATAATTGTAATAATATATCTATCCATTGAATGGAAAATATTACTTTGAAGATATAAATTACTTTAAAATATACAGCAGAGGCCTCATATGACATTTCTCTTCTAATATTATATTAGAATATTATTTAGAAATTATATATTTATTTATTGCAAAATTTTTTGACTTTATAAATTTATATTGTTATTTTGTAGAAAATATTCTGATATTTTAAATATGTATTTTATCAATGAAGACTTTGACATCTTGTAAGCCACACAAATAAGTGATTATAATAAACAGCAAACACCGAACACAATGTGGAGATTTATTAAAACTGATAGGCTTTCCCATTACTCAACAACACATCATTAAACGAAATATACGGAGCCGATAAGATGCAACAAAATATTTATAAGCAACATTTCAATGTGTCTCAGAAATAAATTGTCACCTTTGTTATCATAAATCGCAAATATTGCAGAGAAACTCAAACCCTCAAACCCCGTAAACTCAAGACACAGTCGCCGGTACTCCTGTTCCATATGCAGTGCTTAGTACGGCTTTATCCTGTGACATGAGACTTTATCGAATGTGCAAATGATAAATTCGAGAACATTTTTTATCATTCAATACACTCACACCAAAACACATGTCACAGAAACACAAACACACACATACACACACACACATGTCTGAATGCATTCAGAATTATTCACGATATACTCGAACGGGTGAGGTACGTAGAAGTTATGATGGATAATGTCACATTTGTGGTTTGAAGCAAAATATTTTTGCATAAAAAATGCTATTGAGACGTACGAGAGCCTGCAGTAAAAATGAAGTTGTGAAGTACTCATCCTTGCACTAGGCTAGAAGCATGTATACTTGTATATGGTATCGCAAGGATAACGTAAAATGCATTTGAAACGATTGCATGTGCATAACAAGTAAATAAATTTATCAATAACAGTTTTTGTTATCATTAACAATAGAAATTGCCTTAGGTTTAATGTAATTAATTGTGAAAACAATTTAAAGTCACATTCTCACACAAAAGAAAACTTATCTTTTTGTCGCAGGTATATTTTGAGTGCCGAAATGTAGTACTGGGCTGAGTTTACGTTTCGATTAGATACTTTTGAACGAATAAATTCAGAGTGCAAAATAATTATTTTATATACTTTAAGTACGAGTGATTTCCTTCATGAGCCTCAGTATTATTAATTTTAAAATAAAAATGTGGTTCAATATTTCCCCGAAACATCTCAAGTGTGAAATTGTGTGCATTTCTCTTCTACCCTATCCCGCCACATTTGATATTGCTTTCGCGTAAACATTGTAAATATCCTTTACGTTCCTCAGTCCTTTACGTTACAGTACGTACACAAGGGCAACAGGTACGTAACTGCATATTTCCGATATCTTTACAGGACAGTTGGGCTTGCAGCCGGGTGAAATTTTTCCAGCATTACGAAATTGATTGCGAACTCTGCAATTACTATTAACTCAATTATTAAGTTTTTCCCAGGACTAAGTGCTCCTTGCACAAATGCTCAAATGTAATTTAACATCAAGCCGAACTGTTTTCATTAAATCGTTGAAATGTTGCTCTTCGATATTGACTTACTTTGGCATTGCGCTTTTCATTCGGTCTTCAGCCAAACGGAATACACTGTCAAACTGGATTACATTCATCGCAGGGGGAGCGGGAATCATTGTGAAACTGCATTAATTTTAAATTAACTTAAATGTCAACATTGCGACGTCAGCATAAATTTGATATGTTTATGTGCACTCAAAGAACAAATTCCGAGCAAATTTAAATGGAAATTTTTTCCAATGTGCACAAAATTTCATATAATTTCGCTCAGAAAAAAAGATACTTTAATAAAATATGAATTCATTTCGAAAACACGTTTGTGTAGTTTATCGGAATTACAGAAATATTATAAAGTATAATTTTTATAATTTTCTCATGAAAGTTTTATTGCATCCTCGGTCCGAAATCACTCTCAGTTGACAACATTTCTCAATCTATTCTAATTTTATAATGCTTTGAATTGAAATAAGTATGATATATCGAAATGTTTTGTAATTAGTGATACTCGTTACCATTCAGATGACTTAAAAATGTAAATTCGTGTTAATGCTCTCAAAATTTAAAAAATTAATTTAATACCCTTGCGCTCAAATCTACATATATCCTATATAGGATCATGTCAAGAAGAGAACATGCTTAAAATATATTGTTTGGAGATTTTTTACAATGCATTAAAGAATTGCCTTATTATTGTTAAAGGAGATCTATTCATTAATTGAAAAAAAAAAAAAAACAAAAACAAAATTAAGGCAAATGCGTAAAATGCGTAAAATGCTTTGTTTTTCCATTAAAAATTTTATTAAATTCATTAATTTATCTAAAAAAAGTACTGTTGTGGAAAAACACATTAACAGCAAAACAATACTAAAAAAGAATCAAAATCTTTATTGTATTTCAAACTGTAACTATAAATCTATTCTTTACAAGATTTTATTAAGTCATTACACAAATTTGAACATACAATAAAGAATTATGGAACTGTGGTTCTGCATTAAACATTCACAAAATTTAAAAAAATTCAAAATAAGATACTATGACAAATTTCTAGAGCGGCAAAGTATATCAACAAATATAAATACTATACTCATAAAGACCTTTTGTCGCGACAGACTCTGATGTGACAATACATATCTGAATGAACAGATACTCCTAGTGAGACAAGTACTTGCTGCTTTGACATAATTCCGGCTATAATAATATTCAGCTGAATTAAGTTTTTTATTTATATTTAGTAATGCGAGAGCGAAATAATCTTTACCATAGTGTG